TAGATATATATTTTTAATAGTTTAATATATATTGAGGTGAGAGCATTGGAAATGCTTTTGGCGGTTGACCTGCTTCTGTTTTGTGGGTGGCACTGTGTGCTGTTTTCGAAGGATGGTTCCTGTCCTCTTGTGGGTGCCTTGGGATCCGGGGGGACGGGGGTGGTATGCCGATCACTGGGATGACAACCCAATTTGGGATGGGGAGGGGCTTTAGCGGGGGAATAGTGGAGAACAATTGGAGGGTTACTTAGTAGCAATGCAAATATCATGGTACAGCTATATGGACACTCAATCACTATGGTATTTTTTATTGGTAAATTTACAAACATACAGTGGGGAGAACAAGTATTTGATACACTGCCGATTTTGCAGGTTTTCCTACTTACAAAGCATGTAGAGGTCTGTAATTTTTATCATAGGTACACTTCAACTGTGAGAGACGGACTCTAAAACAAAAATCCAGAAAATCACATTGTATGATTTTTAAGTAATTAATTTGCATTTTATTGCATGACATAAGTATTTGATACATCAGAAAAGCAGAACTTAATATTTGGTACAGAAACCTTTGTTTGCAATTACAGAGATCATATGTTTCCTGTAGGTCTTGACCAGGTTTGCACACACTGCAGCAGAGATTTTGGCCCACTCCTCCATACAGACCTTCTCCAGATCCTTCAGGTTTCGGGGCTTGAGATGCTTCTTACGGAGCCACTCCTTAGTTGCCCTGGCTGTGTGTTTCGGGTCGTTGTCATGCTGGAAGACCCAGCCACGACCCATCTTCAATGCTCTTACTGAGGGAAGGAGGTTGTTGGCCAAGATCTCGCGATACATGGCCCCATCCATCCTCCCCTCAATACGGTGCAGTCGTCCTGTCCCCTTTGCAGAAAAGCATCCCCAAAGAATGATGTTTCCACCTCCATGCTTCACGGTTGGGATGATGTTCTTGGGGTTGTACTCATCCTTCTTCTTCCTCCAAACACGGCGAGTGGAGTTTAGACCAAAAAGCTCTATTTTTGTCTCATCAGACCACATGACCTTCTCCCATTCCTTCTCTGGATCATCCAGATGGTCATTGGCAAACTTCAGACGGGCCTGGACATGCACTGGCTTGAGCAGGGGGACCTTGCGTGCGCTGCAGGATTTTAATCCATGACGGTGTAGTATGCTACTAATGGTTTTCTTTGAGACTGTGGTCCCAGCTCTCTTCAGGTCATTGACCAGGTCCTGCCGTGTAGTTCTGGGCTGATCCCTCACCTTCCTCATGATCATTGATGCCCCACAAGGTGAGATCTTGCATGGAGCCCCAGACCGAGGGTGATTGACCGTCATCTTGAACTTCTTCCATTTTCTAATAATTGCGCCAACAGTTGTTGCCTTCTCACCAAGCTGCTTGCCTATTGTCCTGTAGCCCATCCCAGCCTTGTGCAGGTCTATAATTGTATCCCTAATGTCCTTACACAGCTCTCTGGTCTTGGCCATTGTGGAGAGGTTGGAGTCTGTTTGATTGAGTGTGTGGACAGGTGTCTTTTATACAGGTAACCAGTTCAAACAGGTGCAGTTAATACAGGTAATGAGTGGAGAACAGGAGGGCTTCTTAAAGAAAAACTAACAGGTCTGTGAGAGCCGGAATTCTTACTGGTTGGAGAGAGAAATATACTTCTCCCATGGGCAAAGAAACTCAAAAGGGGTGATGATATTAATTAACAGTAATTTCGATCCAAATGTGCAAATTGTCCAAACAGATCCGCAAGGTAGATAGATGGATGATTTTAAATATGTTATTGGACCATAAACAGATATAGCTCATTAACCTTTACGGACCAAATAATGATGATCCATCCTTCTTTGACAATATATATATAATAAATTATCAACCCTGCAAGCAATACAAGACTATATTATTATGGTGGGAGATTATAATACTGTTTTAAATAGCTCAATGGACCGTAAAGGAAATCACACTACAAACTATCACCCTCATGCTCTTAAGGAAATCATGAATGTCATGGATACATTAGAACTAGTAGATATATGGAGGCTTAAATATCCTGACCTAGTGAGATATACATGGCGGAGACTCAATCAAGCTAGTCGTCTTGACTTCTTTATTGTGTCATTCTCGTTGGCACCAAAAGTTTAAAAAGTGTTGATAGTGGACAGAATGCGGTCGGACCATCATATAATTGGCATATACATTACTCTTACTGAATTTCCACGTGGGCGAGGATATTGGAAATGTAATCAAAGCCTATTGAATGATAACTTGTTTTTAACTTGGACAGAGGAATTTATAACTGTTTTCTTCCGACATAACATAGGTACAGCAAATCCCTTTATTGTATGGGACACTTTTAAATGTGCCTTTAGAGGCCATGCAATTCAGTACTCATCTCGAAAACAAAAGCAATTTAGGTCAAAAGAGTCCATACTAACAAAGGAAATAGAAGGTCAAACAGAACTGATAAATAGCAATAAGAACTGTAACATAGAGGCTCAGAATAAATTAGAGGAAAAACAAAAAGAAATGGAGAAACCTATTCAGGAAAGATCAAGTGTAATATATTCTAAAAATAAAGCAAACTGGATGGAATATGGGGGAAAATGCACCAAATTATGTTTTAATCTTCAACATAGAAATGCTACCAAAAATAATTTACTGAAACTGGTTACAAATGACGGAGTCACCCATGATTCACCAAATGATATTTTGAAGGAGGAAGCAAAGCATATGTATATCTCAAATATAAAATATATTTTGATTTGTTTAACACTTTTTAGCTTACTCCATGATTCCATATGTTATTTCATAATTTGGATGTCTTCACTATTATTCTACAATGTAGAAAATAGTAAAAATAAAGAAAAACCCTTGAATGAGTAGGTGTGCCCAAACTATTATTTATGTCTGCAATGGTAACAATGTCTGGAATTCAGCATCAGTTTCAAAGTAAGATAATCTGTGACTATCCGGTTAATAGGAACAAGCGTATCCACCAACCTAAATTGGTACAAGGTTGAATATGGATAAATATATCTGTTATATACATATATTCATTATGAAGAACATGGAACAGTTTATATACATTTTTCCATTGCATATAAAAACAGTTTTAACCATAACATTCAACAGAATTCACTCCAATGAGTTCCACAAGCCACAGTAGAGAAGGATAACTTACTGTTCACTCAGTTAATTTACAGGTCTAAAATATATAATTTCATTTGAAACAGGTCTGTTTCTCATAATCATTTAGTTTGAATTCAATTTCATAGAATTTCATCATAAGAATGTATTTCTCGCCAGCTCTGAGTAAGAATAAGAGAAACTGAAATCAGCATGTGTACCAAATATTTTATCCCAGTGGCTGAAGTGCGGTGCAAAGTTCTTGTTGAGTTTCTGATGGTGCACATCATGCTTGCTGGGCCCTCCATAAATACCGAAGGGTATCAGACAAGATGTGGACCAAGGAAAATCATAACCAAAGACACATAGACATGGAGCACCATAAAGACCCACGTGGTGAGAAGGTGGCCTCTCAGGATGACAGGATTCAGGGTGGTCCAAAAGCCCACTGTGACCAGCTCCCACCCTCCCAGGCATTGTGTAGCCAGAACAAAGGGAGCTGAGTAGTTGTGGTGTATTGCATGGAATGTGACGTACAACCAGTGGATTATGTGATGCAGCAGGTGCCAGACGAAGTAGGGATGGGGCTTGGTCTGGCAGTGTCACCGGTGGTCTCCATGCCCACTGAGCCACACTTGCAGGAAGCACAAGGAGAATATGGTTGTGCAGGGTGATGCCAGCACAATGCAATAGCATGGAAGGTGTTGGCCGCCGGCTTGGCTGGATCTTGAACTGCTGGACCAATGGCCATCTGTCCCCTATGATGTCACATGCCAGGAAGGGGAGCCAGAACACAAAGTATGAAGACACAGTCAAAACAATTGGGAAAAGAGGAGACTTCAAAGAGTCCCTGTGATTGAGCCTGACATTGTCCCAGAGAGGCTGAATAGAGTCATTTCCCAGGTCGATTCCCAGGCCTGAAAATGTATCTGCTACTAGATTCATCCTGCTTTTGTAAAATAAAGAATGTAAATGGTGTTTATTCCCTTGTACTTAACATGTAATAAATGAGAATGTGGGAGCCAGGTGTAGTGACCAATAAAGACTGCTCCTCTCCCTGAATGTCCAGTATCAACTAACATGGTGCTAAATTATTTACACTGTAACTCTTTTCATTCTCAGGTTATACAACATTCAGGGATGTAATGTATATGCCCAACCAATGACTTGATCGTTAGTATGTGTGCAGGCTTACAGTAGTATTCCATTACATTTCTCCTTTGATTATTTTCACTAGCACACAAAATGCGTTATTACTATACATTAGGTTATTCAATTGATCAGAGTAGAGATTATCCTCAGGTTCTCCTCATTAGATTTGTATTAAAGTATTGTTTTATATGTAATCTCTAACCACGTTTCCATCCACAGTTTTTATGTGTATGAGTTTTTATGAGTGAAGTCCTAACATTAAAAAATAATAATGACAGCTGTGATGGAAACAGGACATTTCGGTACAATTTTATAAATGCCTACCGATAATTTGTTTGATCAACATGGTGGGATCTTTTGGTGTTGGTGAAATTAATTATGCGTGAAATGGCGGAGGAAACGCTTGAAAATAGAGTTGAAAATGCGATGGAAACACATTGAACTTTTTATTTTTATTCTGTACATGAACATTTTAGCGAAAAAGTACATTTTGTGTGCACTACGTCATCACGCACTGATTTTGTGGAAACACGCCACTGGTTGGAAAATGCGCATATTTTCGGATGCGGATTCTAGAATATTTACATGAAAATCTGTCAACAATTCGATGCAAACCTAACTACTGTCAATGCAGCAATTTTTGGTGCGAGCTGTGTCCATCTCACTCCATAACAGGAGGGGGCGATAAAGTATAATAATTGTCTTCATTGCCCATGCCAGACGAAGGAAAAGCAACGTCAGCCATTGGACTTTGGTAAAAGCTACTGTATTAACTGAATGCAACAAAGTAACAGTTTTATAGAGACAAACGTATAGCAAATAGCTACATGGAACATTCATCTGTGAACAGCGTTGAGGTACTGTACGTTCTCACAATGTGTAATAGTGTTGTTGGGCTAACTCATTCAAAATAAGTGCCATACTTGTCATACTTTATTTTGATATTTTAGCTGGTCATGGCTAGAAGGAATGCAGCTATTTGTCAAAGTGACGTCAAAAGTCGCGTCGAGGATACTTTTAAAATTTTAGGTAATTCTAACCCCTTTCTTAACTGAAACCTACTTACCCTAACCTGCTACGTAGTTACTTCTGACATTCGCTGCATTTCATCTAGTCAAAACCATTTCATGTATGTTATGATTTAGCTAGCTAGTAGTAGTAGGCCTACAGTACAGAAGATGGACACTGGAGGCTATTTATTGTGAAATAGGTTAGTTTGATATACAGTGCATTCGGAAAGTATTCAGACCCCTTCACTTTTTCCACATTTTGTTACATTACAGCCTTATTCTAAAATGGATTGAATACAAATGTTCCTCTTCAATCTACACACAATACCCCATAATGACAAAGCGAAAACAGGTTTTTAGAAATGTTTGCAAATTTATAAAAAACAGAAATACCTTATTTACATAAGTATTCAGACTGTTGGTGAACACATAATAAGGAGAGGGAGTACAAACCATTCGACGCTAGACAGAGAGGAATTTGCTTAATGCAAAAAGGCAGTTTATTAAAACAGAGAGATCTTGTCCTGCTCAAGCTACATGCATGGACCCCAATCAATTGCCTCTTATGGAGACAGTTGAGAAGGATGTTTAAACAGAGTTTACAGCATTACTTTATACAATGTAACATAAAGGAAGGGGTCCTTCTTCTAGTCCCTTGATTGGTTCCCGAGGCGTAGGAGGCGGGTTTGCTCTGTCCAGAGCAGATGCCCCATTGGTGCACGGCAGAGTCCTCTGCCCTTGGCACCCGACCAGTAGAAAAAGGAGTGGAGTTTGAGTGTGCGTGCAGTGAAATATTGGTGTGTGTCAAGAGAAAGTGGTGGGGAGTATCTGGTGGTTTATGGCCGGAGAGGGGGTGTTGTCCTGTTATCGCATTCCTGCAAGACTAGGTCATCTGGTGAGAAGATATGGTGTTCTCCTCTGTCCTTTGTTCTCTGACCTAAAACAGCATTTATTAAAAACAGGCTCCTAACACAAAATTGGTCTTGCACAACATTTTAGTCAGACCAATCTATAACATTTTATATTTACTACGACAAATTATATTTACTACGACAAGACCCTTTGCTATGAGACTCGAAATTGAGCTCAGGTGCATCCTGTTTCCAGAGATAATCCTTGAGATGTTTCTACAACTTGATTGGAATCCACCTGTGGTAAATTCAATTGATTGGACATGATTTGGAAAGGCGCACACCTGTCTATATAAGGTCCCACAGTTGACAGTGCATCTCAGAGCAAAAACCAAGCCATGAGGTCGAAGGAATTGTCCTTAGAGCGCCGAGACAGGATTGTGTTAAGGCACAGATCTGGGGAAGGGTACCCCAGTATTGAAGGTCCCCAAGAACACAGTTGCCTCCATCATTCTTAAATGGAAGAAGTTTGGAACCACCAAGACTCTTCCTAGAGCTGGCCGCCCGGCCAAACTGAGCAATCAGGGGAGAAGGGAACCCGATGGTCCAAGAACCCGATGGTCACTCTGACAGAGCTCTAGAGTTCCTCTGTGGAGATGGAAGAACCTTCCAGAAGGACAACCATCTCTGCAGCACTCCACCAATCAGGCCTTTATGGTAAAGTGGCCAGACGTGTAAAAGGCACATGACAGCCCGCTTGGAGTTTGCCAAAAGGCACCTACAGGACTCTCAGACCATGAGAAACAAGGTTCTCTAGTCTGATGAAACCAAAATTGAACTCTTTGGCCTGAACGTCAAGCGTCACGTCTGGAGGAAACCAGGCACCACTCATCACCTGGCCAATACCATCCCTACGGTGCAGCATGGTGGTGGCAGCATCCTTGATGAAAACCTGCTCAGGATTTCAGACTGGAGCGAAGGTTCACCTTCCAACAGGACCACAACCCAAAGCATACAGCCAAGACAACGCAGGAGTGGCTTCGGGACAAGTCTCTGAATGTCCTTGAGTGGCCCAGCCAGAGCCCGGATTTGAACCTGATCGAACATCTCTGGAGAGACCTGAAAATAGCTGTGCAGCAATGCTCCCCAAAGTTTGAGAGGATCTGCAGAGAAGAATGGGAGAAACTCTCCAAATACAGGTGTGCCAAGCTTGTAGCATCATACCCAAGAAGACTCAAGGCTGTAATCGCTGTCTAAGGTGCTTCAACAAAGTACTGAGTAAAGGATCTGAATACTTAAATAAGTAAATGTGATATTTCAGTTTAATTTTTTATTTTACATTTGCAGAAATGTCTAAACCTTTTTTTCTTTGTGATTTATGGGGTATTGTGTGTAGATTGATGAGGCGAAAAAAACTCTTTAATCCATTTTAGAATAAGGCTGTAACGTAACAAAATGTGGAAAAAGATAAGGTGTCTGAATACTTTCCGAATGCACTGTATGTCTACATTTTGTATTTTCTTGCTTCAGAGATGGTCTTTTCAGTGTTTCCTACTTTGTACTCCCTGCACATTTTCGTGAATGTCATAGTCATATAACAAGCGCTCTTCTCTATAGGTATCACCAGAGAGCAATGGGGATTCTGTCGCTCTGTGTCACAATGAGGAAGAGAGCAGGAATCAACCAGCACATGGTGGCCCTCAAGTCCAGCTGTGTCGTTTCTACTCACAGGGACGGCACTGTAACTTTGGGAGGAAGTGCCGCTTCCTCCATCAAAGAGGAGATGCCACCACCCTCACCCAGGGAAAGGTAGAGAACAGGACAAACAGAAGGTCAGAACAGGAGAACCAAAGAGGGACAGGCCCTCACAGCCACCCTGGAATCACACAGCAGAACCCAGTGGTTGACAGCCCTGGAGATGTAGGCCACAGGCTGCCCTCCAAACCAAGGGCTGCTCCAACCAGAGGTGAGAGAGCCAGCAATTGCCGGCCCTGTCGCTATTTTCTCTCTGGGTGCTGCACCATGGAGGATAGATGTCACTACTGGCACCCACCACAGTTCCCCCCAGTTGATGACCAGCCTGTAGGAGACGGAGGAAGGCCCAGGGTGCCCCATGCCCCCCCTCCCAGTGCCTTTCAGGTGGTCAAGCTGAGTGACCTGACTGACGATGTCACCAAACAGCTACGGGACACTGAGATCAAGCAGCTGATAAAGCGTTTTCCCAAAGAACAGCTTATTGTTCAGGAACGGAGCGACGGCAAAGTCACCTTCTACCGAGCCACAGTACAGCCCACTGATCCAGACTGGGTAAACATTGTCTGCATTATTCCAATCCACAATAACAAGGCCTCGACAAGGCCATTGTCTTTTATTGTTTCTACTATGATATAGTTTTATGAACATCATAGGATTGTTGCAACATTGAAAAGTGTGCATAAAAACATGCTGACTCACTCCTTATACTGTTTCACAGCCTTTTGACTTGAAAGACGTTGACATAATGGTGAGCTTTCCGGAAAAGTACCCACAAGAGGTAAACAACATCTTTGACCTACAAATCTCATCTGTTTGAAATAATCATATTGTGTCTAGAGTTTAAGACTCAAGGTGGAATTATATATTTTTTCTCCAGGTATTTACATTAGATATACCACTGGACCAGGACTTGCCATCTGTTATGGGAAGGTGAGAGAAACTTTATTTTATTTTCAATGGCTTTACAGTCTAAATACAATAACACTTTGATAAGTATTGATACATTTTCTCAATGTGTCTGTCCACATAGATATGTTGAACAAGCCTCACTGGAGTGGCTGCAGGCTAAGCATGCCACCAATCAGTTGAGGGGAAAGGTGGAGCTGCTCTTCCGGCCCTTCCTTCGCTGGTTGGATCGCAGCATGGAAAGACTGTTCACTGAGGGAGCCAGGCAGGTGAGACTGTAGACTAAAATAAAAACAGTTCCATTTACGTTAGTCTCCTTAGTATGAGATACTTCTGGTAACCTCTGTTTTCCATGAGAGACTCTGGTGATGTTATGAATTCTCTGTATTGCATTAGTTTATTTCCTTAAAACGACTTAACAACTTGAAGGCAGAGTTCTAATATTTTCTCTCTTTTTTAAATCTCTCCTCAGCTGAAAAAAGACATGGAGATAGCAAAGGCTGGAATTCAGTTTGTGCCATACCAGCAGCTCCAGGCAACTGTGTGCAAAGAGCCTGCCACTGATGAAATGCCTGACCCTGTCCTCTACACTGCAACTGACGAGGAGAGCAGAGAAGAGAGAGGAGGAGAAGATAAGGAGTGGGAAGAACTATTGGACCCTGGCTGTGATGATGATGATGATGATGAAGAGGACCGGGGGAAGGTGGAGAACATTAAGATCAGTGAGCCCCGTAGAGGAACAGAGGTGAAACTGCTGGGCCTGAGTCTGGGAGAGGGTACGGCCACCGTGGTCGCCACACAGATCACTGTGTGTCTGCAGTGCAGCAGGTGAGCAGACAGACGGTCCTCCACTGATGCCATCTACTGTAGCCTACACTGTATCTTACATATTCCCCTTGGAATATTGCCTATAGGAGGAAAGAGTCAACTTATCTGCACATTTTTTTGGGTTGATGGGACTTGGGAGATGTGACATAAGTGTGTGTCTGTCTGGCCTTTGTATGTTGTTTGCAGGTGTAAGGTGACAGCAGACCTTACTCTAAATGGCAGGAACCCTTGCACGGCCCAGTGTGAGAAGTGCAACGCAGGGATCAGTGCTGCCTTCAGACCCAGCATGCTGCACCACTACAGTGATGTCCTGGGCTATCTGGACCTGGGCACCGCTGCTCCTGTGGACCTGGTCCTGCAGGACTGTGAACTGGTCGTGGGCTGCCTCAACTGCTCCAAAGAGGGACCTGTGAAGGTCACCAACACTCCTCTGTCCATTGCTCCATTCTTGTCTTATTATGATGATGAAAGTATTTATAGTGAGGGGAAAAAAGTATTTGATCCCCTGCTAATTTTGTACGTTTGCCCACTGACAAAGAAATGATCAGTCTATAATTTTAATGGTAGGTTTATTTGAACAGTGAGAGACAGAATAACAACAAAAAAATCCAGAAAAACGCATGTCAAAAATGTTATAAATTGATTTGCATTTTAATGAGGGAAATAAGTATTTGACCCCCTCTCAATCAGAAAGATTTCTGGCTCCCAGGTGTCTTTTATACAGGTAACGAGCTGAGATTAAGAGCACACTCTTAAAGGGAGTGCTCCTAATCTCAGTTTGTTACCTGTATAAAAGACACCTGTCCACAGAAGCAATCAATCAATCAGATTCCAAACTCTCCACCATGGCCAAGACCAAAGAGCTCTCCAAGGATGTCAGGGACAGGATTGTAGACCTACACAAGGCTGGAATGGGCTACAAGACCATCGCCAAGCAGCTTGGTGAGAAGGTGACAACAGTTGGTGCGATTATTCGCAAATGGAAGAAACACAAAATAACTGTCAATCTCCCTCGGCCTGGGGCTCCATGCAAGATCTCACCTCGTGGAGTTGCAATGATCATGAGAACGGTGAGGAATCAGCCCAGAACTACACGGGAGGATCTTGTCAATGATCTCAAGGCAGCTGGGACCATAGTCACCAAGAAAACAATTGGTAACACACTACGCCGTGAAGGACTGAAATCCTGCAGCGCCCGCAAGGTCCCCCTGCTCAAGAAAGCACATATACAGGCCCGTCTGAAGTTTGCCAATGAACATCTGAATGATTCAGAGGACAACTGGGTGAAAGTGTTGTGGTCAGATGAGACCAAAATGGAGCTCTTTGCCATCAACTCAACTCGCCGTGTTTGGAGGAGGAGGAATGCTGCCTATGACCCCAAGAACACCATCCCCATCGTCAAACATGGAGGTGGAAACATTATGCTTTGGGGGTGTTTTTCTGCTAAGGGGACAGGACAACTTCACCGCATCAAAGGGATGATGGACGGGGCCATGTACCGTCAAATCTTGGGTGAGAACCTCCTTCCCTCAGCCAGGGCATTGAAAATGGGTCGTGGATGGGTATTCCAGCATGACAATGACCCAAAACACACGGCCAAGGCAACAAAGGAGTGGCTCAAGAAGAAGCACATTAAGGTCCTGGAGTGGCCTAGCCAGTCTCCAGACCTTAATCCCATAGAAAATCTGTAGAGGGAGCTGAAGGTTCGAGTTGCCAAACGTCAGCCTCGAAACCTTAATGACTTGGAGAAGATCTGCAAAGAGGAGTGGGACAAAATCCCTCCTGAGATGTGTGCAAACCTGGTGGCCAACTACAAGAAACGTCTGACCTCTGTGATTGCGAACAAGGGTTTTGCCACCAAGTCATGTTTTGCAGATGGGTCAAATACTTATTTACCTCATTAAAATGCAAATCAATTTATAACATTTTTGATATGCGTTTTTCTGGATTTTTTTGTTGTTATTCTGTCTCTCACTGTTCAAATAAACCTACCATTAAAATGATAGACTGATCATGTCTTTGTCAGTGGGCAAACGTACAAAATCCGCAGGGGATCAAATACTTTTTTCCCTCACTGTATATCTGGGTGAACTTTTGATCTAAGACAGTCTGTCTGATTTTGTGTATTATATTTTGTCTGCAGAACCTTTTGTATGGCCAGAGCAAGGAGTTCAACTGCCAGCACTGTCACAGCAAACTCAACATCCTGGTTGACAGCACACGATTCCAGTATATTCCGCCATGCAAAGAGAAAACCGGTCAGAAACAAAGGCCTATAGTAGGATTTTAATGATGAAACATGGAAGAAGGTTAAACAGCTGTTTTGGCTATTCTGTCTGTAATGCATAGTTGTCTGTACTGTACAGGACACAGCGACTCTTCACTGACCTATCGGCGTAACATAAGGGACCCTGCCATACAGATGGGGAAACCACTACCTGAGAAGGGAGCATGCAAACACTACAGACAGAGTCATCGCTGGCTCAGGTTCTTAACAACCTCTTTCCCTTTAACATAATTTTGTCTTGCCAAAGTAAACTTTGCTGGTGAGTGACATCCCATGGGTGTGCTCTCAGGTTCTCATGCTGTGGCCGGGCCTACCCCTGTGACGTGTGTCATGACGAGGACCAGGACCACCCCATGGAGCTGGCCACCAGGATGATCTGTGGTCACTGCTGTAAAGAGCAGGTAAGCTGCCTGGCCTCTAGCAAAACTTCTATCAGATGGATAGAGTAGTGCATCTTCGTTGGCATTGGTGTCTCAGTAGGCTAGATTCCAACCCTAAACTGCTGTTGTCCTTCCATGCAGCCGTACAGCAATGGGAAGCCCTGTGTCAGCTGTGGAGGCATGATGACGAGAGGTGCCTACTCCAGTCACTGGGAGGGTGGACTGGGCTGCAGGAGCAAAGTCAAAATGAGCAGGTACTATACTGTACACGCATGCATACTGATGTTGTCTAAACATATCTTACTTTAAAACTGAACTACATATTTTTGTTCAAACCTGATGAAATTGTGCATTCATAAATCTATTTTCTCTCATTTACAGAAATGATAAACAGAAGTATGCCAACACAAACAAAACAATTTCACGGAAAGCCAGCGAAAAGAAATAATCAGAGACAACATGTTAATGTTATGGCAGTGGTTGATTATCAGGCTTGCTCTATCAATGCCTTATTGTTTTCTAATAAATCAAGTGAGTATTGTAATGTTACCCAGCTGATGTGATTGGTGAGGTTTGAGCCCCGGTCCTGGAGTAGCACTCAGCCTTGTTGCCCTGGTGTGAACATGCAGCAGAACACTCTCCGGCACAGTACAATACAAGTAACCCTGGTGCTTGTGCTCACTGTAATCACAGACACTCCCATTAGGTTTCTTATCTCTGCAACAGCCTCCCCAAGTGCCTTGTAAAATCAATGCAATGCCCTACATTTACAGTAGACTCTTCAGTGGCGCCACTTTTCCAATTCTCTCACAATTTAACCCACTCATCATTTAAATTCAATGTCTAGTTGAGATTTACATTTGGTTGAGTTGTCAACTAACGTGAATTCAATGTAAAATCAAAAAAAATGTTTAGGTTAGAAGAAAATATGAAATTCCCTTCCGTTGATAACTTCTTGCAAATCCAATCAGTTTTCCACGTTGATTTAATGTCATCAGATAATTATTTTTGTTGAAATGACGTGGAAACAGTTATGATTCAACCAGTTTTTACCCAGTGGGATGCAACTGTGATCTGTTTGTCCCAGAGCTCTGTGTTATTGTTATGTCTTTTAAGTGGACAGGCTAGACAAAATCTTGGGAGTTTGATCATGGCATCGGGATAGAATAGCTGTGGCAGTGGTTTGCTCCCTTGATCTTAATTAAGTAGCTCCACAAACAGATTATTATGTAAGATTACATAAGATTAGTCTACATAATGATTAGGTAAGATTACGTACGATTGGAATCTACGACTTAAATTCTTAACTCACTAATCTTCTAAAATATATTTTTAAGAGCACATGGTCAATGAACAGCTGGAAAATAACAGATTTCATGGACTCTGAACTAATGATATTGAGAATCGAAATGATGATTGACAATGTTTATGATATGAATAGGTCACCCTGGTGGTCTCTAATTGAAATACAAATATGTAAGAAGTGAATTGTGTTGTGGATACTATCAATTTAATAAATTATACTGATTAAGATGCCTTGCAATTGAGTTTTAACTTTAACTTGATAGGTAACATGCATAATTAACTCAAGCAGGGACCAACAGATCTGTATCTAGAACAATATAATTGACAATTTTGAATAAACTGATTAACTAACTGGCCTGTTGGGATAAACTGCCAGTGGGAGGATGGTGTTGCAGGCACCAACTTTGAACTGGTCAGTGTTGAAAGGTTTGTGTGTGTTCTGGTGGATTTTGTTAATCTTCCGGAAAATGATTTATTGTTGAAATTGTATGTAAAAAATAAAGAAATAAACGCTGTCTCATTGATGTGAGAGCGAAGTCCTTAGCTCAGGACTAAATAAAGGGAGAATGTCTTCTCTCTGCACATTACAGGCATCCAGAGTAACCCAGATGTTGAACATCAGCGAGGTTCAGTTGCCTTTGCAGCTTCCTACATTGTCCAGATCCTCAGACAGGCTTCTGCAGCCTCTATGGGACTATTTCATTTTCAACCACTACTCCCTCATCTCCTCTCCCTTCTTTCCTGTCATACTCTGCTTCTCCAGTTACTTCTTCTCCAGTCGCCCCTTATACTAGACCTCCTGGGAGATACGGTCCACTTCATTCACCACTACAAGATCCAGCAAGAGAGACGTCCAACCATGAGGATGATGTCAAAGAGTATTGGAAGGGCTGTGTATAACCACTTTGTTCTGCCTGCTGTGCTGATTCAAACTTGCTTTATGCCTTCAGTGGTGCTGCCTACCAGTGCTCCAACTGTGGTAGAGGTGCTCATTGATGGACTTGCTGCCCTTCTTTTTGACACGCAGTACTATATGTGGCACTTTGTGCACCACAAGCATCCACAACTGTATCGGTGGGTTCATGCCATCCACCACGAATACATGGCAGCCTTCTCCTGGAACACCCAGCAACTCAGCATTCCAGAACTGATAACAGTGGGATTCTGGAGCAACCTGGACCCCATCCTGCTGAAATGCCACCCTTTTACTACCTGGTGCGTCACCATCTTCAGTATCTGGATGTCAGTGGAGGACCACATAGGCCAGGGTTCTTCAATTCCGGTCCTGGAGGGCCGAAACACCTCTGTTTTTCATCCTCTCCTTCTAATCAGGGGCTAATTCAGACCTGGGACACCAGGTGAGTGCAATTAACTACCAGGTAGAAATAAAAAACTGAAGTGTTTCGGCCCTCCAGGACCGGAATTGAAGAACCCATGGGGTCTCAACCACCTGGTACCATTTGGTCTGTTAGGAGGAGCACCAGCTCATGACATGCACCACCAGAAGCCCAACAGTAACTATGCACCTTTCTTCAGCCACTGGGACAGACTTTTTGGGACTGCCATCCTGTCATGGAAGATAACTGAGAAGAGAAGTTGTGTATTCACTGTAATTTTGATTACCCTCATGCTTACATGTTATTGTTCATTAGAATAAAATGTATTTTCTTACATGTCTGTTTTATGTTTGTCATTTACCAACATCAATTGTATTAAAATGTACTACACTAGTGTAAAGTTTTTCTAAATGGATTAAACATATGACAATATAATAATGGGTAGAATAAGATCAAAAGTAATGGTCCTTAGTAACACATAGTCTATACAGTACAACTATACAGCAAACTCAAGTTTACCATTTGCCCCAGAGGATGGAAGCAAACAATCATTTTTAAGATCACATTTTGTCATGTATGTTCAGTCTGATTCAGCAAATAACATTCTACACTATGCAGCATAAATTTGCTAATTCTTACATAACACAAAGATTATTTCAGTCTTTGAAGAGGTACAGCTTAATCAGGATGTTCCCGTTTTCCTCTGGCTAGAAGAGTTTAGGATATTTCTAATCAACAAATCCACTGTTTGTTTGCCAGGGTCAAGTTGAGCCAAGGGTCAATGTCTCTCAGCCTATTGCGGAGAGTCTGAGCACTAATGGAGGGATTGTGCGTTCCTGGTGTAACTCGGGCAGTTGTTGTTGCCATCCTGTGCCTGTCCCACATGTGTGATGTTCAGATGTACCGATCCTGTGCAGGTGTTGTTACACGTGGTCTGCCACTGTGAGGACGATCAGCTGTCCGTCCTGTCTCCCTGTAGCGCTGTCTTAGGCGTCTCAGTATGGACATTGCAATTTATTGCCCTGGCCACATCTGCAGTCCTCATGCCTCCTTGCAGCATGCCTAAGGCACGTTCACGCAGATGAGCAGGGACCCTGGGCATCTTTCTTTTGGTGTTTTTCAGAGTCAGTAGAAAGGCCTCTTTAGTGTCCTAAGTTTTCATAACTGTGACCTTAATTGTCTACCGTCTGTAAGCTGTTAGTGTCTTAACGACCGTTCCACAGGTACATGTTCATTAATTGTTTATGGTTCATTGAACAAGCATGGGAAACAATGTTTAAACCCTTTACAATTAAGATCTGTGAAGTTATTTGGATTTTTACTAATTATCTTTGAATGACAGGGTCCTGAAAAAGGGAGGTTTATTTTTTTGCTGAGTTTATTATGGCATCCTGTTACTCGGTAGCCTACACCATTCTCAGATCACCTTGGTCCTGGAGCGGAAGCCTTAAGGTCAGGGAGGTACTGATAAGGGAATGGGGACGTTTTTAGACTTGGTTAGCGCACTTGGACTTGTCTACTGCCATCTGCGTTTAGTCTGAATGATTGACAGAGCGTGGATTTTGCTCCGATGTCTCCTTAGGAACATCTAAAGGCAAGGCAATCTGAAAAGCACAGGGTGATAATACAAAGTCTATGGGTTCACTGGTCATTAATGAGAAACCACTGAGATGGAATAGAACTCCACAAGGAAAACATGTTAGCTTTCTAAATGCAATAGGAATATTCAAGAAAATAAATGGCAGTGTTGCGCTCATCAAAATCGACATTTTAGTCTTTCAAATCTCCTGGTTTTGCAATTACAGTAGCATCAGCAGGCATATGATGACATTAATGTAATTGATAAGACAAAGCGTTACAATTAGCAGGCAGCAAAGCCTTACATGGGAAGTGGTCACACGTCAGGCTAAAACGATGAAGCATCAAACACCTCTGAAATAGTCTCAGCAGCAGGATGGAATTATACTGCTTACGTCAGGGATCATCAACTAGATTCAGCCGCAGGCCAATTCATTGCACAGACCCACTGCTTTGTGTACTCAAGCCACGAGTGAACTGGCATTTTGTATTGTGCTGTATTCTCACTGAAAACAGCTGACAAAATCCCTGACCATCCTATTGTACAGGGTAGTGCATGTTTCAATAAACATGAATCTATGATTCTTAAATGTCAGTGTATGGTTATTTGTAGTTTTGTATCATGAACTTCATGGATTATACATTGCACCCACAATGTTATAGTAGTATATAATTTAAAGCAATAATCAATGCGTATTGACAAATATAAAATATTATAAACTAAGAAATTGGGCAGTCATGCAGTGTCAGAGAAATCTGCCTCTAATCATTGCTATGGGTGGGGGAACACTTTAATCTCTGCTTAGTATAAAGACTGCTTAGTATACTAAACCAATGGGGAAAACCCCAAGATAAACATCTTGCATTAGCCTCCTGACTAATAAGGACTAAAATAAATGGGATAAATAATGTTTATACTGCACTAATTAATAGACAGACTGTTACAGATTACCCTATAAACCTGCCAGATAACTACTCAGTAATAAGTTTGTCTAATATCATTTTGTGAAACATTTTAACAGCTAAATACTTTCGAAATATGATCAATTTTGATTCATACCAGAGGGCAACCTTGTTGCAGCCTCTGAAACACATTGAGACACAAAAAGATACTTAAAATAAATGTATTTGTCTCAGACAATGTAACCATATCATACAAGGCATTCACTTAATTTTATTGACCTGAACCAAAGGTGTTAAAATAAAAAGTAATCAATGTATACTCTTGTTTAGATACTGTACAAACATGTTAGCAATGTGTCCAATGTTCTCTGTTGGGTGCATCTTGGTGTAGCTGATGAACTGGCGTCGTAGTTTCCGGAGCTCTGCCATGTTTAGACTTCTGGTCAGTTCTATGTTTGACATCAGGTTAAGGAAAAACACAGTTAGTGATAAACACTCATGAATTCTCTGATGTTGTGTCAGAGCTGAAGGCAAGGTTACGGTATCAAATACATTCGGCTTCGGCCTATTTATGTCCCAAAACCACCATTTTAAGAGGCGAATTATGCTTCCAGAAGGCTGCGAAGAAACGTAATCTCTCTGAAGACAATCAATATTCAACTCACATTTTGTAGTTCAAGACTCCACTAGCACTACTTAGCCTGTGCTATGTTGTTCAAAGTGAGCTGCAGGGGGAACAACAAAGTACTGGTTTCTGAGTCTGCTTTGGAATCCTGATAAAAGCCAGTCGCCATGCTTCCAATGATTTGGTCCCTGTCCCAAACATCCTATGTGCTTGATGGCGAAACCTTTCTGGTGGCTCAGTTGCTACGCCACCAAATGCACCAAATGAAAGATAGATACCCTTTGATGGATATCCATTTATCCACAGCCCCATGCTAAGAGGTCCAGTTATTTGATACAGGATGACTTTAACCCCTGTTGGTGCTAGACTGCTGTGAGGTGGTGATTAAAATAAAAAATAATAAGTCCATGAGAGACGGTCAAATAAATAATACATTTTAGGAGGAGGGGGGTATATGTGAGCAACATGCATAATGTGGCAAAGGATATCTTTTCTGTGGCTCCTGGAACAGCAATGAGATCCCCTGGAACACTTGTCTTCTGGGAGCTGAGAATTGCCTAGAACAAACAGAAAGAGTCAATATACATTCTTCCGACAGACAGCATTGCAGACAGTATTTAATAACACAACTGAAGCAATAATGTTATGCATTAAAAAAGCTTATAAGAATCAATTCAATAAATGATCCTGAAAGAAAAACAGAGAAACAGCAGAAAACAGCAGGGGGGTGACTAATGCAGGGATTGAAAAAACAATATAGGAAGTTACTGATAAATATGAAGGCTCACCATCAACACATCTTGTGTGACTTTGTCCAGCTCATACAAGAAGTTTGTAGATGACAGTGGTTGCTGCAACAGATGGATGAAACACTTCACTTAAAACCTGAAACTACCAACTGCATGCAGAAACATTACTTTGTGATTTATGCATGTAAACTAGTTTCTTACACTCTGTGTCGACTGGTTAGGAGGGGGTGCTTTCCTTTTGAAGATGGCATCAGAGATGGCTTCAAATGGAAGTGTGTCTTCTTTCTGAATGGTGAAAAGTGGGTTGTCCCATCTGTTCCTGGAGTCTGGAGTTTCAAATCTCAGCACCAGCGCATCTAGGCTGTGAAAGCAAAAGCAGAACCAAAGACCATGAGTCTGCAAGTCACATTGGCAAATGGAAGACATTTTAGCAGGAATTTCACTCATGCATCTAATTGTAGCCTATGACATTTGCGTTGTATATATAATTGTGATAATGTAAATGACTAAAATTTAATTGTAAATGCATTTCTTTCTTTCCTTTTGTTTCCATAAAAACCTATTTAGGGATTGGTGTTGAAAATTAGCGTAAGCTAGAAAACACTATAGTGCAACGCATCAGACAATTGTTTGGTCAATTTGTCAATGTCCAAATAAACCAAATTGAAATACATGAAATTTAGCCAATTTAGGCAATAACACGACATGAGCAAGAATTAGGCACCAATGGTATCTTAAAACCTTTTCAAAAAGTAGTCTACATTTGTTAAATGTGAAGATGGCTATGGTGTTCAGACATACAATGACTCATTGAGAACATGGCGGGTCAATGAGCAGTAATGTCGTTAGCTCTTATAAATCCTGTGAGCAAAATAAAAATGGTCCAAGGGAAAGTAAACAGTAACTTGGTCTACTTACATCTCCTGGGTGTACTGCTCTTCAACATCCCTTTCTGTGTTCCATGTTGAGCTCACTTCGGCTGACGTCAAACAGTAAACCTTCATTAATAAATATGGTACATTTAAGAGGTAAATCTCAGTGTCACCAAGAACACAAATCTCATGAATAAAAAAAAGCATATTTTGAATGGTGGCGTACACCTAAACTACATAAGCACTGTACGCCGTGGGGCTCCTAAATTTGAAACAGAGTGCAAACTACACCCACCCATAACGGCTAGTCTACCCCAAGGGGTAAATCATGCACAACCACTGTTAAAATCATATTTACCATCAACAACATATTACATACCAGACAGTGAGGCGTCTGTGTGTGTTTGATCAGACAAAAAAGTTCATATCTGTAACCTAATGGATTACAATAGAAGAAACATACAAACATAAAGACGTTTAGGTGAGGTGATACGTAGAAGGCACCTTACTGCCACAGCTACCCACACACTTTTATTTGCAATATTGATCAAAATCAATTATGAAAAACAAAACAAAAACATTTACCTTTGATATAGTTCAATGAATCCAGAATTACAATATCCTCTTTGTTGATCCTCCTAATGCAATAAAGCAACAATTGTCAGGAATTCTTATCTGTAACTTCAAAACAAATCAAATTTGATTCTGGCAACGTTACACAATCTATGAGCAGTAGACTCACCTCTCTGCTTCAGCTCTTAGAGATCCTCTCACATTTTTCTCATTCTGAGAATCTGTGACATATATCAACAATGTTAATATGTGAGCTGGAACTCCAATCAATATCCTATGTATTGGCTACTGCTACACTGTTGTCAATACATAAGGGGAGGAATTGATAGGACAATATTGGCCAATGCCGCGTTCACGTGCTAGTCGGAACTAGGAAACTCTGACATTTCAAACTTGCTAACAGCTTGTACACTGAACATAAATATAAACGCAACATGTCAAGTGTTGGTCCCATGTTTCATGAGCTGAAATAAAAGATCCCAGAAATGTTCCATATGCACAAAAAGCTTATTTCTCTCAAATTTTGTGCACAAATTTGTTACATCCCAGTTAGTGAGCATTTCTCCTTTGCCAAGATAATCCATTCACCTGACAGGTGTGGCATATCAAGAAGCTGATTAAACAGCATGATCATTACACAGGTGCACCTTGTGCTGGGGACAATAAAAGGCCACTCTAAAATGTGTGGTTTTGTCACACAACACAATGCCACAGATGTCTCAAGTTTTGAGGGTGCGTGCAATTGGCATGCTGACTGCAGGAATGTCCACCAGAGCTGCCAGAGAATTGAATGTTCATTTCTCTACCATAAGCCGCCTCCGAGGTTGTTTTAGAGATTTTGGCAGTACGTCAAACCGGCCTCACAACCGCAGATCACATGTAACCACGCCAACCCAGTACCTCCACATCCGGCTCTTCACCTGTGGGATGGTCTGAGACGAGCCACAAGGACAGCTGATGAAACTGTGGGTTTGCACAACTGAAGAAATTCTGCACAAACTGTCATAAACCATCTCAGGGAAGATAATCTGCGTGCTCATTGTCCTCACCAGGGTCTTGACCTGACTGCAGTTCGGCATCGTAACCAACTTCAGTGGACAAATGCTCACCTTCGATGGCCACTGGAAGTGTGTTATTCACAGATGAATCCCGGTATCAACTGTACTGGGCAGAAGGCAGACGGCGTGTATGGCGTCGTATGGGCGAGCGGTTTGCCCTATGGTGGCGGTGGGGTTATGGTATGGGCAGGCATATGCTACGGACAACGAACACAATTTCATTTTATCTATGGCAATTTGAATGCACAGAGATACCGTGATGAGATCCTGAGGCCCATTGTCGTGCCATTCATCTGCCGCCATCACCTCATGTTTCAGCATGATAATGCACGGCCCCATGTCACAAGGATCTGTACACAATTCCTGGAAGCTGAAAATGTCCCAGTTCTTCCATGGCCTGTATACTCACTAGACATGTCACCCATTGAGCACTTTTGGGATGCTCTGGATCGATGTGTACGACAGCGTGTTCCAGTTCCCGCCAATATCCAGAAACTTCGCACAGCCATTGAAGAGGAGTAGGGCAACATTCCACAGGTCACAATCAACAGCCTGATCAACTCTATGTGAAGGAGATGTGTCGCGCTGCAAGAGGCAAATGGTGGTCACATCCATACTTTTTTTTTTGAAGGTATCTGTGACCAACAAATGCACATCTGTTTTCCCAGTCACGTGAAATACGTAGATTAGGGCCTAATGAATTTATTACAATTGACTGATTTCCTTATATGAACTGTAACTTAGTAAAATCTTTGAAATTGTTGAATGTTGCGTTTATATTTTTATTCAGTATATAGTTATACACATGCCGCGTTCAACCAGTTAAAAAGTCTGACATTTCTGAATTTCCTAGGTCCGACTTGCACGTGAACATAATACCTGTCAATTGAAAGGGGGGGGTGCTACTACAGCCAATCAAAGACAGTCAGTAGAATGTACAGGTAACTGCCAAAATAAAGGAAACACCAACATTGTATTTATTTTACCAGGTAAGTTGACTGAGAACACATTCTCATTTACAGCAACGACCTGGGGAATAGTTACAGGGGAGAGGAGGGGGGATGAATGAGCCATTTGGAATCTGGGGATGATTAGGTGGCCATGATGGTATGAGGGCCAGATTGGGCATTTAGCCAGGACACCGGGGTTTAACAAGTGCCATGGGATCTTTTAGTGACCACAGAGAGTCAGGACACCTGTTTGACATACCATCCGAAAGAAGGCACCCTACACAGGGCAATGTCCCCAATTACTGCCCTGGGGCAATGTCCAACCCTATTTAGCTTCACTGGCAAGCCAGCAGTGGGATGTTGGCTCACCACAAGCCAGAACAGCTTCAATGCACCTTGGCATCGATTCTACAACTGTCTGGAATTCTATTGGAGGGATGCGACACAATTATTCCACAATAAATTCCATTATTTGTTGTTTTTGTTGATGGTGGTGGAAAACGCTGTTTTAGGTGCCGCTTCAGAATATCCAGCTAGTAACGTTAGCTAGCTATGCTAGAACAGCAAGTTAGAACCACAGAACTAGAATGAATGAGATTATATTTCTAGCTATGGCTAGAACACCTCGAGAACAGTCCGTACAGAAAGTACAGTGTAGGCTACATGCCGATCTCTGCTACATGCATGGCAACACCAACATTGCCCAGAACAAAGTGGTTGGGCAGTGGAGGCTGCTGAGGGGAGGACGGCTCATAATAATGTCTGGAACGGAGCAAATGGCATCAAACACATGGAAACCATTCCACTGATCCCGCTCCAGCCATTACCACGAGCCCGTATTCCCTAATTAAAGTGCCACCAACCTCTTGTGGTTGAAAGGCATATTTGTGAGCTAGCTAGCTAAGTTTAGCTAGCTAACCACTGTAGCAAGCTAATCAGCTAACTTCAGCCTACCTGCGTATACAGCGTTCTTCTCAATTCCCAACGTTCCATCTCCTACATTGTGAACCTTTCTCTTTGTATTCTGTTCAAAGTATTCCTTTAATTCCACCGCTCTTCGTGTTTTGCCACTACATGGAAAACCACACATTACTATAAGCGGCATGATGCTAAAAACACATGTAGCTAGCTAGACAAACCCATAAATTGTACCCGGAAGTAGTTACCACAGCCAGCCAGCCCCATAAAGTAAAAACCCCCACCTATTTCTACAATGTATCTTCTTAAAATCTGATTTAAAACCACAGTGCTAACCTTATGCCTAAAACTAACCTTAAATTAAGCTCATTTTTGTTTTCGAAAATTTTACGACGGGAATTTGGACTTTGTGGCTGTGCTATCTAGTGGAAACCATTAATAGTTGTTTTTTCTCGTCTTCCACAATCTTGGGTGTGAATCCGGGGTTTAAGTATGGTCGGTCGGGTATGGCGTCCCGGCAAAAGAAATAGCGGGGGTTACACCATACTGGTAAAACATGAGCCTATCACAATCAGTAAAACAAAATGTCAAGAAAACTGGGCTATTACACCATTATTTAGGCCTATCATTAGGCTACCTTATGTCAGAGAAATGACTAAATTGACTTGAAAACTGGTGGTATAGCCTAAACTCTAAGAGAACACTGACATTTTGCTAAGGCAGAGATGAGTGACACACCGAGACGCGCGCGGACAGCAGTGGACGAATAAATTCTGGCCTAATGTATAAAATATGTATCTTTCCATTCACCACTGTTTGAAGGCAGGACATATCTTGCGAGTGGATGAACGTGCGCGGGTGGCCTTTTCAAGAAACGGTTTGACAATCAGATGAAAACATCATGACTGGTTGTGTTTATGCCACAATAAACGGTAATACATTTTAAAAATTAAATGCCCCATTTTACTACTAGGCCCACAGAGATCCTATTGAATTAAAATGGATTATATGTAATTCTATGATTCAAATTTTTTTGGCCGCGTGCACACATAGGAGGTCCCATACCTGGAATAAATTAGATGTACTTTCATCCATGGTGTGAAGTTTTGTGGTAGGCTCGCGTGCCAGGTTTCTGGAGCGCCTGACTCTTTCATCACTGTCATTATTAAACTGAACAAAAATGTAAACGCAACATTTTCATTGATTTTACCGAGTTACAGTTCATATGAGGAAATCAGTCAATTGAAATAAATCCACGTGGCCCTAATCTATGGATTTCACATGACTGGGAATACAGATATGAATCTGTTGGTCACAGATACCTTTAAAAAAATGGGCCTCAGGATCTCATCATGGTATTTTTGTGCATTTAAATTTCCATCAATAAAATTCAACTGTGTTCCTTGTCCATAGTTTATGCCTGCCCATACCATAACCCCACAGCCACCATGGGGCACTCTGTTCACAAGGTTGACATCAGCAAATCACTCCCCACAGGACGCCATACACGTGGTCTGCTGTTGTGAAGCTGGTTGGACCTACTGCCAAATTATCTTAATAACGTTGGAGGCGGCTTATGGTAGAGAAATGAACATTCAATTATCTGGCAACAGCTCTGGTGGACATTCCTGCAGTCAGCCTGCCAATTGCACACTCCCTCAAAACTTGAGACATCTGTGGCATTGTGTTGTGTGACAAAACTGCACATTTTAGTGGCCTTTTATTGTCCCCAGCACAAGGTGTGTAATGATCCTGCTGTTTAATCATCTTATTGATATGCCACACCTGTCAGGTGTGCACAACATTTGAGAGAAATACGCTTTTGTGCGTATGGAACATTTCTGGGATCTTTTATTTCAGCTCATGAAACACTTTACATGTTGCATTTATATTTGTGTTCAGTGTATAACTACAAATGGATAAGGTTTATGTAAAATATAATATTTGGTATAACTTCACATCACACATAATTGATCATCAAAGCATTAAGTGATGTGAAGGGGATATGCTTCAAAACTGAACACATTGTCCGTTTATAATGTAAAGAAGCATTGATACAACATTGATTAATTGCTAAAACAATGAGTGTAGTGGACAGGCTTTATTTTCTATGATGAATGTGGGTGAATGTGACCTAAATAGCCTAAAGACATGAAACATGTTTGTTCTTCCATTTTTATTCAGATATGAGAAGCACTACAGGAGTGGATAATTATGGAGCGGGAAAAAACAATGTCACAGCTTTTTAATAAAACAATACATTAGGCTTAGTTTAACTGAACATCTTGCGAATCTCGATATGATCACTTTATTGAAATACTCCATTCATCTTCTTTGTGGGTTGATGCTGTATGGATGTGGGTGCCCTTTCTCCCTTCTCAGTTTATTTCTGTTGGTTCAAATGTTGTCCAGTAATTTCATCAGGAAAACCGCCTCCTAACAATTTTACAAATGAAATAAAAATACATCATGCTGTTAGGTCAACACGAAATACACAAGAGAAATTAGAACAAAGCATGTGCCTGCGACCAGCCTGGCATGAGGCTGATATAGGCAGAGACGGTAATTAATGTAGTCTCAGTAGGTAGGCTACACAAACATACAGCATAGGCTACTACTTGCACAGAAATGTATCATATGGAATGTGATACATTTACAATAAGAACCCAACATCAACATACACCATTCACGTAGATACCTTAAAACACTTCTAACTCACCCGATCTCAAGCCCTGTTTCTGCGGAGTCTGTAGAGCCCTTTTCAGCACGTCTTCAATTAGCAGCTCTGTCAAACTCTCTGCGTTGCGCTCGGGGTTGACAGACTGAACTCCAAAAGGGATCTTTCCATTTCCGAAGGAAGACTCCAAAAACGTGCTATCCACACTTTTCTTGCCCATGAAATGACCTAAGGGCAAAATATACATTTTAAAATGTTATCAATACATGACTAATCACAAATAGCAAACGGAATTATTCAGAGTTAACGCACTAAATTAAACCAACATATTATGGTGATGTTATAACATGACATCAAAATGAAACTGTAAAGTAATACATTTCTCTAGCCTCAGTTTTGAAATAATTACTAGTGGTACTTTCTAAATGACAAGAACTCACCAGTTGCCCATAGACTTCCCCTCTGATTTACCTTGATGTTTGAAACTTTATTTCTAAGTTCATTTAAATCGAAACTCATCGAAGATGTCATACCTATGTATGAGATTAGAACAAAGCAAGAAAGTCCCGATTTGCAGATCCTTGTCAATGTGCCTCTCGTCATCCTTTTTATAAAACTACAGTATTTGTGTACAGAATAGGGTAGGCTCCTTGTCCAGGTTAAAACCACCCTTTGCTCTGCTCTTGGGCATTTCGTGCTCTCGTGTCACAGCACCAGCATTTATATGACCACGCGCCGGCTATTGAAATGAGATGAAGTCATTCATTATCAACACGGCTGGCTACTGCTTATTGCTTGACTAGGATTGGATTTTGCGCATCATATTGTTAAATCGGTTGGGGAGACACTAGTCATATTGGTTTGACTGGACTGAGAAAAAAACAAAACATTTTGGAGGGCAAACAACAAAATGCTATAGGTGTTGGTGTATTTTTATCCCCAGCACATTGTCATCAGAGAAGGGATATTTCAGGACAATGGATGCGTATACTGACATGTTCATGTTTATTTGCAGTTATTTGAAGTAAACATTACAGCAAGGCACTATGGCCGATGCAGGTTGAATAGATATGTGATGGCTTAAGAAATGCTGCTAATATAAAGGGTTCATTAGCTACTGTGTACATGGGTTAACTTAAAAGTCCTTAATATTGTACATATTATCAAAAGTACAAAGTTTCGCTTGACAGGCTATATAAAAACACTGAGATGTGAAGTTTCATATCAGACACTGAGTTTTAACAGTGGATCTGTTTAAAGGATGAACACTGACTGTCAGATAACCACTAGAAAATGAACAGTTCATACAGCACTTAAATAGAAAGTTCACAAGATAAGTCAATGTGACTATAAATATCAATCTCCAAAGTAATTTATAAAATTTTATATTGTGGGAGATACATTTTGAGAATAATAACAATTAATTTTACATTGCTTGCAACACAAAGGTGAAATCTCCCAAAACATCCCAAAGTTTAACGATCACTGCCATATACCATGGAGGTAGAAACAGCTGCACAGGTCTACATCTTCATCTTATTTCAAAATGTTCACATGCAATCAGACATGCTCTAACCCTTTACATTTAAATCACTGCTCTTTTATTTGCCTTAGTACACTGCTGGCAATGAGCCACTTTCAACTCCCTGCATTATCTTGCAAAACAGATGTTTTCTCACACTCACCAAAGATTACAATTAACCAAGAAAAACATCTATGACATCGCTAAGACAAGTCACCACTACTATTAACATAGATATGAGCATTTTAAATGAAGGAAAGCTAACTTTTATCAAACTACAAAAGCAGTAGTCAAAAAAAGTGTAATATCTTTTAGCTAGGCATTTAACTCCAACACCTGTATTTGATCTTGTAGAAAAGTGCTATTTGGGTAGTTTAGCCAGCTTTCATAATAAATGAATGTGAAACTATTTTTGGTATGGAATTGATATAAAATATATATTATGTGCTAAATGGTACCTAGGTCAGAGTAAATATTTCAACATACAGTATGATAGAAGTTGTAATACTGTTACATAACATCACTATTGCCAAGTCCTGCCTGAAGCCCATCTATTATTATGTATTTTGTAAGGCCAGAAATATGAAACCAAGCATATGATATGGCTGCCATAAACTAAAGCAAAGGCTATAGCAAAGTCATCATGATATGAAACTAAATGTGATGTAAGCCTGAGGGACAGATCCTTGACATAACTGGGGTCACTAGAGAATACTGATGAACCAAACTGTGTGCCTTTACAGGTGGGTGTGGTTATGTACCAGAGGCTCTTAGACATTTAATACAATACAAAACATGCAAGCTTCAAAGGTAAAAGAAAAGTAAATAATTCATGATAATCTTTGCCCAAAATTAATTTAATCTTCTCAGTTGTGGAACATCTGCCAGTCCCAAGGGCTTGAGAAACATAAAAAGCATTTAGTTTAAAGGCAAAAAATAATATAAAGGTACCACATTAGTGCAGCATGTCAAGCATCTGAAGTTAAACTACTATTACCCAAGGAAATGGAGATCGCAGCTTTTATGAAGTTCAAAATTGCCCTCATTGATTCTATTTTGCCTGCTGAAGACACTATCCATGAATCTCTAGGTGAGAGCTGCATGTGAATTTACAGTCTGTCTTACTGCAGGCTCACAGTGCAACCTGGTTGGATCCTCTGCCCGTTGGAGGTCAGATTTAACTAATGGTGGTGGCAAGTCCTCTCTCTCATTCACACCCACTGCTTTCCCCACGTCCTCTTCCTGCTTCTTCTTTCTGCTCTGGTACTCCAAGTCCATCCTTTCTTTCTTCTCTTCTTCGGGCTCTTTGACTTTGTGCACAATAAACAGGTGTCTGTTGAGAGATAGCTGTGATGCAAAACATAATCCACAGTGCAGGCATTGGGGAGTGTTTTCATCAGTTTTATGCTGAGGTATGTGCTTCTGGAACTGTGTGCCATCCTCTGTGGTGAAGCCACACTTTGAGCAGCGAAACTGATGTTTCAGACGCTTGGCGGGGGAGCCTTCTAGGGCAGCACCTTCCTGCCCCTCTCCCTCAGACTCCACAGCAGGTCTCTTTGAAACAGGCTCCTGCATAGCAAAGTTAAAGATGATTATATTTAAAGTGTATTTTTTGACAATGTGTAAAATGCTGAACAAATGATATGACAGATTATACATACTGGTATTACTTTTAAAAGAAAAATCACCTCTCCCAAGGCTTTGCTGCTATCCAGAGGGGCTGATTTTAACAGACTGAAGTCTGGATTTTTGATCCCATGCATCAAACTGACGTGGTTCTTCAACATGATGTTTGTGGTGAATGTTGTCCTCTCATCTGTGCAATACCTGCACAATAAGAATACAAGATATCATACGAAAAATAGTCATAAAATGTGGTAACCACCGTTTTGTTTTTGCATGTTTGTCCATTTACTGTAGAGCCACCCAGGGGCCAATACGTGCCAGTTATGCCCCAATCGTTCAGGAAGTAATGTACTGGGCCCAGTTTCCCAAAAGCATTTTAAGGCTAAGTTCATCTTAGAACAATAGGATCCTATGGTTCCAACAATGAACTTTGCCTTAAGATGCTTTTGGGAAACCGGGCCCTGTAATGTAGATTTCAGGATGAAACTCTCACCAGCAGGTAAATGTCTTCTTCTTTCCATCGTGGTCATTGCGAATGTGTCTTCTCAAACTTGTAGAGGAATTGAAAGACCTCTCACACTGCCGGCATGGATAACTCTTCATTGCCTACAGAAAGCACAGAGAGCAGATTGACTTAAGGGTTGAGCTGACTTGGGAATTATTTAATTTCATTAAGGGCCTGAAGGTTGTAAATCCCACATCTGAGGTGGTCCCTATATTATCATCTGTCCTCTAGTATAAATGCTACAGCTAATTTATTTGAATGCGCAATAGAATTACAAAATTGCTCCTCACCCTCCCATGGCTGTTCTTCATGTGAGAGACGTAGGCTTCTCGGTCAGGCAGCCAGTGTAGGCACTCTCCACAGGTCCAGCCAGCATTCTTCAGATTGGGCTTGCTGTCTCGAGCGGCCAAGTTCGCCCCTTTTCTGGTTCCATCGGAGTGTTTTATGGGAGTGTTTACCTTTGGCTGGTGGAATCCCGAGGTAACATCTTGGTGCTGTGCAGTCATCTCTGGTGGTTTTGTTCTTTTCTCCACCTCCTCTTTGAAGATTCCTCCATGCACCTCCTGTAATATAGACAGACAGCTTTTAAAAAGACAGAGCTCAAATCTGAGCATTATGTGCCCCATTTTATGTCAATGTGACTAGGTTGAAGATGAGGATGATGCCATACCTTGAAATGCTGCATTAACGGCTGCTTTTGGGTGAAGATTGAAGTGCACTCAGGGCACTTGAACATACAGGTAGCACGCTTTTTGGCATTCTGATAGAAGTGCTGAAGCAATAACTGCTTTTTCTTGAACACTGTCTCACAAGAACACTTGAAGATTAACCTGGAACAGAAAAACAACCCAATTAGAACATAAATAGCATTGAAAACAATCATGTCAAACTTCAAGATGGGTTAGCAAATATGCCCATTTCAGAACATGCATTTAGTTACACAAACTCACTGAGGGGACACTTTGCTCGCATTGTGCTTAGTTGTCAAATGCATTTGACATCCATCAGAAGACTTGAAAGCAACAGGACAGATGGTGCACTTATAGAAGACCTCACAGTGTTTCTCCTCAATGTGACTCTTCTGCACATTAAATGACATGAAAACCATATCACAATGAAGACACCTAGAAGAAAAAGGATTTACAAAAAGGTGGACAACGTTATAAGAACACTTTTGTGTTATGTATCCACTAAGTCCCATTCAAGGTCTTAACAAAAACATATACTTTAATATTGACTTACTTATAGCCAGCCTTGCGTGCATAGTGAAGACAGTTCTCCTTCACATGCTTCTGTATGTCCACGGAGCGACTCAGCGCACCACACTCAGGGCAGCAATAAGGGGACTTGTGGGCATGAATACGCTGGTGAGCCCGGTAGCTACACTTGTTGGGTAGCACCATTGAGCACACCTTACACATCTATACATGACAAAAGAACACAGAGCAAAACATATCGAAATACTCTCATTATTACCTGGCCTATGATAGTGAACATTTCAGCAATTATCATTATTTTCAATTTAATCATTACTTACCAGTCCCTCCATTTCTTCCGACAGCCTCTGGTAATGGCCTGCGAGACCTCTGTAGTCTGATAGCTGCTTGTTACACTCCAGGCAGTGGAGTCTGTGGCGGATTACCTTGTCTGGATAGAGGGGCATGACTGGTTGGCTTTTAGGTGAGGATAATGGGGGCACATGGGAGCCCACATGCACAGAGGATTCAGCGATCAAGGGTGCAAACATCTGTCTCTCTGCTATGGGCTTCATGGAGAGCTGTGTGCACTGCATCACCACACCTTTGTTCTTATGTTCCCGTGCATGTGCCAGCAGGGCACACTTGTTGAAGAATACCATGGTCTTAGCACAGTGGGTGCAGGCTACTTCAATGTGCACACTCCTCCTGCCATAATGATAAGCAAGACTCCTCTCTACCCCAAAGGAGTCCCCACACTCCAGGCAGCAATATCCCCGTGGTGGCAAGTTGATGTTGCTCTCAGGTGGTGGGTTTAGGTTGGGTACATATGTGGGTACAGGGTTGGCATTATTTAACAGTCTGTTTAAGGTTCCTGCTGCTGTGCTAGGAATGGCAGCACGTGGATTAGGGGCAGCTTTTTTCACTTGGTGTACCAATGGGACAGTGCAGCACACCATAGAAGAGGAAAGTGTGTGTTGTTGGCTCTGTTGATGGGAGGTGGAGCGCGCAGCGACTGAAGCAGCAACACTGTGAGGGACTAGGTTCAGGTTAGCTAAGTGCATTGCCTTGGGAAGGAAGCTTGTATTGGGAGAGTTGCCTGTTTGAACTGATGAAATCCTCTTTTGTGTAGAAGGGCCATGCTGGGCAACTGGCATAGACCTCATAACAGGACTACTTGTATTATGAAAAATAGTTGGGGACTGCATTGGTCCTGGCCTCTTGGAGTTCCCCTCTAATTTAGTATCAGTAACCTTTGATGGCAGAGTACCAACTGGTGTACTTTTGATGGGCATATCAACAATAATATCACTTATCACATTATGAGAGGGATAGGGAGACAAACTAGGGCAGGCATCCTCAACAATCATACTCTGGGATGGAGAGGACTCAACAGAGTGAACCTCCTCGTTTTCTGAATCAGGTACTACACTGGTAACCGTGCGCTGGATTTGCCCAGTCGTGGTTTTAATGGTCTTTATTCTGACCCTCGGTATGGCTGGAGGTGAGCCAGATGCCAGTGCTGGGGATCCCTTGCCACTGCTGTTACTGCAAATGCTTACAGGACTGTCAGGTGGTTTCATTAACCACTTCACAGCTTCAAGAGGACTCCTGGGACTTCGTGGTGACATGGGCACTTTTGGACTAACCTTTATGGTGTCATCATGAGCCACTGATGAGTCTCTATAGTTTGGTTGTTCACTGGGATCCTTTCTGGCATTCAGAGCCACTAATGCCTCAAGGCATGACGATAGTTTGGATGTTGGAGTTTTGACACATGGATGAGAGGTGGGCATATTAGACGCTGCCACTATATTAACGTTACTGCTTGACTCAATATTGTTATGATCATTTGTAGGGAGCATTGCACTACTATGACAATCTCCCTTTTCCTTCTGGTCACTGACATTACTGTCAAGCTTCTCTGTCCTGGTATCCTCTGCTTTGATAGATTCTCCTTTGCCCCTCGGAAGGTTCTCAGGTGTGTCACAGTCTACTTTATGGCACTTGTCAAACATGCTGTAATACAGATGTTTTTTCTGATTGTCTGACATTGGGAGTTCTGCAGACATAAATATAGAGGCAGCAGGGAAGTAAGGTCTCTCTTGTTTTGGACGGACATCAACTCCATTGCTTCGGCTGTCTTCAGATTCTGGACTAGAGATGGGGCTGAACTGGGAAAAGGACTGGGAGAAGGATGGCGTTCCTTCAGGTTTGTGCTGGACGGGGGTCTTCCCTAAGAGTCCTTTTGTGCCATCCCCATTTAAAGCAGACACAAAAGACTTAGAACCACTGTGGTCAATCTGATGAGACTCCATGGCGGCCCCTGACCCCCTGAAACCATTTTGCAATGGGTCTCCAAAGTGTGGGCACTCTCTCTCGCCACCACTATCAGACGACTCCTGGCGACTTGTGTTCTTCACTATTACACTTACAGCAGGTACATCAGATGCACCCACAGCTTGGTGAACAGATAAGCTGTCATCCATACACATCCCTGTGTGTTTCAGCTGACCCTCTCCCTCATCGTGACTCTCCTGGACAGTCTCTTTTGCATCCAAACTGGTGGCATCAGGGATGTCAAAGGCAGCCAAAAGATCATCAAAATCAGGGGTCTTCATGTCACCCATGTTTGAATGCTTGCAAAACCTGAGTAAAAACACAGAGTTAAAACATAAGCACATAAACTTACAAGATATATGGCATATTCCCTGCCGACAGTGACGTTGGAGAGTTATTTACCATTTGGCTCTTGTTTATGTTTGTTGCTAAAATTCAGCAAGGTTGTCAGTTGGTGTCATTATGGGCTGCTCCCTCTGTGCAGATACCTGAGATCAATTAATAGGAATTATGTTTACTTTAAAGTGCACTAGCTAGCTTGTAATGGTAAACATTTTGGCTCACAAATGTCAGCTAGCTAACGTTAACACATCTCCAGCTGGCCTGCTAGCCACAACAAAGTGTAGATAATTGAAGTTTAACATCAAAATAGATATAATATATCTCACCAAACAACGTATTGTACTGCAACAGAGAGCGGTTGAAACTGTAGCTAAATAAAGCCAGCATCTGTGAATACAGAGCCAGAGGCTAGAGTTAGCTGTTAGTTAGCAAGCTAGCTACTATAAAGTAACGTTAGATGTGTAGCTAGCTCGGATATTTGACACTTGCAGCTCTAACGTAGCTAACGTTAACTAAATGACAAGCTAAATAATCTATCTATAAGGCTAAATATATATTCGAGCATATAATGAGTACAAAGGTAGAGTTCACCTATCTATCGATTAGCTACCGGCGTTGCTGCCATAATTCCCCCCGGGCCCAGGCCTCGTTCTTTTCGGGTGGACTTCTTCCTTTACAACAAAACAGCTAGCTAGTTGCTAGCTTATTGATTGCTTGCTAGATAACACGCGGGAGCTAACATGTCCTAGTATGTCGCGAGCCTGTAGTAAAAATGTATTGATCAGTCACAAATTGATGAAATATTGGAAGCTATCAATGTGATAGGCTTCAGTAATTGTTATGTGAAAATGCAGTTCATCCCTTCGTCACCAGACCAGTGTGTTGTGAACAACATTAGCGTGAGCAACAATAGTGGAATCGGGGGGGCTCGCCTTCAAAATAAAAGTCCACAATTGAAACGGATGCAAACGGATAAAAACAGTGGAATCATGCCACAATTGGACTGGATAATGCTATGTTATATAAATTCGACAAAAGACAATAATGAGTTAATTTGACACAAAAAAAGTAAGGAATCAGTTGAAATCGCACTAATTATGTATTCAGTGGCACACTTATAGCCAGGGGTGCAACTTTCACTGGGGACGGGGGGGACGGGGACGGGACGGGGGTATGGGTGGATGGGGGTCATATCCCCCCCATTCTGAAATTGTATTTTTGTCCCCCCCCCCAGTTTTATCATTGCAATGTGATACAAAAAGCGGAAAATGTGTGCTTTAGGACCATACGGACGCCTCAGAGTGTTTGGAGTGTTCTGCCGGTTGGATTTAGGACCGGGCGGACACCACAGAGCGGGCTGACATGACCGATAGTGGAAGGGGGCGGAACCAGGGAGGCGTCTGGAGAAACGATGGCTGAGAAGCCATCCATGTTTGGTGAATTAGGATAGATAAGCGACGATTATTCAATATAGCTAAGTTAATAGATTTGAACAAAGATAAACGAAACAGAGAGGAAATCCGGTGGAGGTGGTTGAGCAACACTGGACTGTGACTGGAGCAGAGATGGATGGAAAGGTAGGTTAGGAGTTGAGGAGGACGGGATGGAGTGGAGTGGAAAAAGGTGGAGGTATAGTAAGATTAAAGGTTAAGAAAAAGAGGAAGCCTGAGGAGCCTTTGCAGGTCTTGTCAGAGGAGATTAGTGATGAGGAGATTAGTGATGAGGGAGGTTCGGGTCGCAGTGTTGTACTGAGAGAAGTGGAGTTCAAGGTGTTGGTGAAATTTAAGGATCAAGGTTGAGTCACGGCAGTGAGTCCGATCGCGTTGGCTAGGGATTTGGAGAGTAAAGTAGGAGAGGTTGTGTCTGCTAAAGTTCTTTGTGATGGAAGTTTGGTGGTGGTGTGTTTCAATGTTAAACAGTATGAGAAGGCGCTCAAACTCAAGCAGGTATGTAAACGTGTGGTTGATAGTAGCATGACGGATCAAACAGGATGGAAGTGGGTGAAGGGAGTTCCAGAAATTGTTAACATTCTAGAAATAAAGGACCACTTGAAGGGAGGCTCTCTTCACGGGGGGCCAGTATGAAAAATGTATGCACTCACTAACTGTAAGTCGCTCTGGATAACAGCGTCTGCTAAATTACTAAAATGTAAAATTGAGGCAAAGCGTCTCCAGATGACACGAGATGGGAAGAAGGTGGCTAGATTGTGAGTGCTACTAAACTTTGAGGATCTGGTATTGCCAGGAAAAGTTAGGATTGGGTATATAAGTTAGTATGTGCGAGCATATGTTCCGAAACCATTGCGTTGCTATAACTGTCAAAGGTTTGGGCATGTGGTGGCGGTGTGTAAAGGCAAAAGGAGATGTGGGGGAGAACATGCTTATGGGGAATGTGGAGATGGGGTCCAGTTAAAGTGCTGTAACTGTGGGGGCGCCCATAGTGTAGTGTATGGGGGTTGTTCAGTGATGAAAAGACAGTTGGAAGTGCATCAGGTGTTGGAGTGAGCGTAACATCTCGTATGCAGAAGCAGTGAAGGTAGTTCACACAGAAACAATCGGGGCACCTAGAAGAGCAGGTATTCATTTTTAAAACATTTTAGTCATTTAGCAGATGCTCTTATCCAGAGCGACTTACAGTTAGTGAGTGCATACATTTTCATACTTTTTTCATACTGGCCCCCTGTGGGAATCGAACCCACAAACCTGGCATTGCAAGGGCAATGCTCTACCAACTGAGCTACACGGGGCAGATTGAGATGCAGGTTGGGTGTGATGGAGGGAGCAGAATGGGGGAGAACACAAGACTGGTAGGAGACATGAGGAAGGTTGTTACATTTGTGACAGCAGCAATCAATTGTACAGAAAAATTACAATTGAGGACTAAGAAGATAAAGATCATAGTGGAGCAGGCAGTGAGATATCTTGGGATCACAGGACTGACATGGGAACATGTACAGGATGACCTCAATAAGATTGAGAATCAGTCCAGCCAGGAATCATGTATTGGGTAATTTGCATTATGGTGTTAATCCTTCAATGGAATGCCAGAAGTTTGATGGCTAATGGGCAAGAGTTCAAACAGGTTCTTGAGGAGTTACAAGCCAAACCTGGTGTGATATGTCTCCAGGAGACATGGCTAAAACCTACTCTAGATTTTGTATTACAAGGTTATGTTGCAGTCCGTAGAGATAGGGTGGTAGGGGGAGGAGGAGGGTGTGCTACCTTTATAAAGCGGTGGATCCCATATAGGTGTGTGGGAGAGGGAGTGTAACATGAGTATGTAGTGGTAGAGGTGTGGTTGGGAGGGGGGAATATGGTAATAGTGAACTTTTACAACCCGTGTAAGAGACTGGAGTTGCTGGCCCTTGGGAATGTAGAAGGTCAAGATAGGAGACGGGTAATGTGGTGTGGGGATTTTAATGCTCATAGTACGCTCTGGGGAGGGTTACGGACTGATGTAAATGGACAAGCGTTGGAGGAACTACTGGATGATAAAGGGCTTGTGAGTCTTAATGACGGCCGGGAAATCAGGATTGACCAAGTAACTGGAAATGAATCTGCTCTGGATCTTACTTTGATCTCTAGTTCAATGGCAGGCAGATGTAGTTGGGAGGTTTTGGAGGAATCTACAGTGGTTAGTGATCACCATCCTATCATGTGTACTGTAGGTTTGAGGGAGGAAGAACCAGTAGGAAATGGATTGAGGAGATGGATATTTGGGAAAGCGTAGAGGGGTCAGTTTCAGGAGTTGAGTCAACAGGAGCTGTCTCAGGTAGATCTTAATTCTGATATAGAATCAGTCAATGATGGAAAAAGAGGAGCAATAGTAGGGGCTGGAAGGCAGGTGATTCCTATGGGGACAGGGGGGAGAAAGAGGAACGCAGTGAAGAGTGTAGAGAAGCAGTGAAGAGTAGGAACAGTGCTTTCAGAATGTTGAAAAGGTCCTATAATTACCAGCACCTGATTCAGTATAAACAAGCACAAGCAGTAGTAAGGATGATCATTAGGACAACTAAGAGGGAGTATTGGCGGCGGTTCTGTGGAAACATAGGCAGGACCACGCCTGTGGGAGAGGTATGGGGGATGATTAAGAGGATTAGTGGGGTCAGAAGAGGTTGGGATCTCCCTGTGCTGAAAAGTGGGGAGATTGTTGCAGTGAGAGATATGGAGAAGGCAGAGATGTTAGCCCAGGCATTTGTGAAGGTGCACAGCTCAAATAATCTGACAGAAGAGGGGCAGCATGGGAGAGAGAGGGTCAGAGGAGAACATCCGGGGGTCCTGGATCAGAGAGAGATGGTGGGGGATACATTGAATAGCCCTTTTATGTTGGCTGACATGAAGAGAGCATTAGCTAAAGCTGGGGTTACATCTCCTGGGAAGGATGAGATGTGTTACATCATGATGGCTCATATCAGTGACACTGCAATGGGGAAAGTATTGGGCCTTTACAATAAGGTGTGGCAGGAAGGGAAACTGCCTGGAAGTTGGAAGCAGGCGGGAGTGGTGCCAATACGGAAACCTGGGAAAGACCCTACTAGTCCTTCAAGCTATAGGCTGATAGCGTTGACATCTCATGTATGTAAACGTATGGAAAGGATGATAACGGAAAGGCTGACATCTGGAGAGTAGAGGACTAATGTCACCAGATCAAGGTGGGTTCAGGAAAAGCAGGGGAACGATGGATCCTGTATTGTGCCTTGAGTCAGTCATACGGAAGGCACTGGAAAATAAGGAGGTGGTGGTAGCTGTTTTCTTTTATGTAGAGACGGCTTATGATATGATATGATGTGGAAGGAAGGCCTACTTATCAAGCTGGATAACATAAGGGTTGGAGGAAGGGTTTTTAACTGGATAAAGGATTTTCTTTTTGGGCGATCAATACAAGTGAGGGTGGGGAGCTCTATGTCAGAGAGCTATGAGGTGGATAATGGTACCCCCCAGGGAAGTGTCATTAGTCCTTTGTTGTTCTCCATCATGATTGAAGATGTATTCTCTAAGGTGAGACCTGATATTGGGAGGTCATAGTTTACGGATGATGGAGCGCCGTGGAAGAGAAATATTACCCATACAGCCAGAAGAGTTCAAGAAGCGATTAGTGAAGTAGAGCAGTGGTCCCTCAGGTGGGGCTTCAAGTTTTCAGTTGAGAAAACACAGACAGTGTTTTTTTCTAGAAGGAAGGTTGGGGAGGAAATATACTTGAAGTGGTATGGAAGGAATCTGGAGAGGGTGGGAGGGTTTAGGTTCTTGGGGGTCTGGTTTGACACTCGAATGACATGGGCAGAGCATATTAATAGAGTATTTGTCAAAGGAAAGAAAATATAAAGCTCAGACATCTTTAAAACAGCTAGATGTTATCCAGGCCCAAGCCCTAAGAATATGTTGTGGAGCACTCAGGACCCCCCCCTGTGGCAGCGATGCAGGTAGAGTTGGGAGAGATGCCATTAAAGTTAAGAAGACAACAGCTAGCCATGACATATTGGGTAAATCTACAAGGACATGAGGTTACACATCCTACAGAAAAGGTGCTCCCAGAGTGCTGAGAACATGAACAAAATTTGAATTGGGTGGATAGGCAATTGTATGGTGAGAGAGATGGGGTCGTTTGGGAGGGAGTTCAGCCACTTTGTGGTTCTTCCTGCTTCCTGTTTCTCCCTCAACCAGTGACATATCTACTGTTGCTGGAGAGGGTAAGAGATGTTGAGGAAGGAGTAGATTCAGTTGTAAGTGAACATTTAAGAACACAATACTATGCTTTCTTGAATATATTCACAGATGGATCTAAGGACCCTGAAACAGGGAGGACAGGAGCAGCTTTTAGTGTTCCTGAGTTTAAGGTGGCAGTGACGAAAAGAGCAACAGATCATTTATCTGTTTACA